TCATAATTTTTTGGTTCTAATCACATTTCAATTGAACTTGGAAACATAGATTTTCTGTTACATTGCGCAGACCTCATTAGTTTTACACTCAAATCTGTTCATATTAATTTTCTGATTTGCATAATTAGTTTTCAGCTAAGTAATTTCGAATTAGATTTAATATGTCTCCAATACTCTCAGCACATGGGAGTTCTTTCTAAGCTTTCTTTGATTTCATGTTTATTTGTAGGGTGAGTCAGCATACTGGAGAGACTTCCACACAGCTATAGCAATAGGTCAATATATGCTAGTATTTGGTGGTCGTTCAGATTTGCATGGTCCATGGCACACTAACCATGAATTGTATTGTAATAAAGTACATGTATTTGACACAAAGGATCATTCATGGCACCAACCTGTAACTACAGGTCAATTACCAGATGGAAGAAGGAGTCATTCAACATGTAAGTACACTCTGCTCTAGATATATATTTGAGATAGGGACTCTGCTGTGTACAATAGTTTCAGATTACCCATAGCTGTGATTAAAATTATTATATAACTGTAGATTAAAACTCAAGGCCATTTTAATTGACCTTATCCCTGGGTAACCTTAAAACCATTGTAAGTATGATTATTCAGAAAACACTGAGTTTATGGGAAACCTATTCTGATTGATTGACGAGTCATGGTATAGACTTTCAATAATTTTAGCAATGCAAGTTGTTTTTCTTTACCAGTAACTTTCAATTCTGATAAAATAAAATGAAATAAAAATTTACTGAATTCCATTTGTTTACATAAATAATAGGGGTATGTCATATTCACAATAAATGCATTTTAGTGTACTGTAAAAAAAAAATTTTTTTTCATTTACGAGATGATTCAGTGAAAATAAAATCCAGTCAATATACCTTTTTTCCATAATTTTAAAAATTTATTTCAGCTTATAAAAATACTGTACCCTATAAAATAAGGAAAGAAAGAGAAAATACAAGTCCAGCCATCTCGCAGCCTTGAAATGAGCATTGTTTTCATGGTCACTTGCACCTACTTTCTACTCCACTATAAATTGTATCTATGTTTAAGAGCGTGCTGTGTTGTGTTCATAGGATCTTTACTCTGGGTATAAATTTCTCAACAAGTGGGTAGTAAATGTTTTATTTGCAGTCCTTATTCTCACTGTGCAGATGTACTCAGCATAATACATAAAACTCATCTAATGAGGATTGTTCTATCATACAGTATTTGTTAAATCTGATGTTTTTATTTTATTTTTGTTTAAACTTGTGTGAATAAATTTTGCAATAAAAAACAAAACACTAAAATCTTTAAAGCAAAAATTTAACCATGTTTATAGGTAACATGTTCGTACGAATGGTTTTTTTCAAAATGATCCTTTGAAAAATTGTAGAAAATGTCTAATGCATAAAACTTTGACCAACAAAATTGTTTTTTTGTGTTCTCACTTGCAGTTATACCCACTTGTCTGGCTTGTTTCAAACTTGCAGTTATACCCACTTGTCTGGCTTGTTTCAAACTTGCAGTTATAACCACTTGTCTGGCTTGTTTCAAACTTGCATGATTACTGAAGAAATCTATTTCTGCTGTATTTTCTGATAGAGGATTACATAAAAATTACCTAGACCACTTCCCAAGATGTGTTTATATTCTGTTATTTATGCATTCATAATTTTGTTCATGACAATGCCAAAACAGCCTGCGTGGTGAAAAAGTACACACCTACCATTCCTTTATTGGCTGTAAGACTGCCCTCTATAGTCCAAAACATTAACTTTACAATTCTTGTCACGACTGGTGAATGTGCCCTCTGTTGTTGAAAATTAGAAACTATCCATAGGCCTGTGAGTTCACTACTTACTACTGTAATAAAAGAGGACATTGCCATAGTGATAAGGAGTGGGACAAGATATTAACTGTCACTGAAATTACCTAATTTATAACGTCCTTTAAGTATTACCTCGTTTGAAATAAAGGTACAGATGCAGATTTTATCATTCCTCTCACATTTGAAAAAAATTCAGTTCCCATCCATACAGATGGAATCAAATATGTTATTTTGCATTATCCTGACTTCTGCCTGATCTACCTTAATATTTACATCTATGTTAAATGGAATCTAGGCTTAAATTAGATATTTATTGATATTCAGATATTTGAGGGGTTATAGAGAGATTGTTATAGATTGCTTGTTAAGGCCTTGATATCATAAAAATTATTTGAATTATTAAGGACTGTGACTATGATTTTATATGTAGCTGTATGATATTACAACTTTCTGATATTCTGTATATGTATATATTTGTTATAGTTTTATATGATGGTCACATGTATGTGTTTGGTGGTTACAATGGCGTTAAGGACAAACACTACAATGATATGTTTAAGTTTGAACCAGGAAGTATGGTGTGGACACAGATTGAATCACTTGGTTTCATGAAACCATGTCCAAGAAGAAGGCAGTGTTGTTGTGTGGTTGGACAACAAATGCTTTTATTTGGAGGCACAAGGTAAGAATTTCAAGTTCATTTGAAATGTACAAGAGTCAGTAATGTTACAATATTGTAATCATCAATATGATGTTTTTGTCAATTGTACAGAATTTGTATTTCTTTACTCTGATGAAGTGATCTTGTTGGAACACATACCAGATATACCCGGTACATGTATTTTATTTGTCGCATACACAATACAGGTTGTGTAAAGTTCTAAAAAGTTCTTAAATGATTTATGATGCTAGAATATTGGTAAATATTAACATCTGTTGAAAGTGGTTTTTAATATTTGTTAGTATATTTTGTAAAATCAAATTCATATGGTTGTATTTACAACACATGCTATACTAATATACAAACTGCTGCTTACACTATTGTATTGATCCCTATACATACAACCACACTGTGATTAATAGTTCTAACTGTGTACACTGTCTTAGTCCTATATTACCTATAAGCTACATATTGTTGCATGTTGTTGCATTGCGAAGCACAACAATTCCCCCTTCCCTCACCCCTCCTTTTTCTCTTCCTCCTTTCAAGGCCACTGTTTGGGTAGCCACTGGCTTTTCAGTAAAGCTGACTTTACATTTGCAGCTATTTAAAAAGCTTGGTGCCCTCTATAGGTGACATTGGTAGCATATACCAGGTCATCTATCTTGTCATGACATTTATCATTCATATTATATACTGGTAGCAATTTGCATATAATTTTAATCAAAACTCTTTGTATGTGTGAGTGTGAGTGTGTCTATTGTTATTTAACAATATAAAGCTATAGTAATTTATATATCCATTGGACAGTGTTTATTTTTTCTTGTTACTGTCTGCCATTGAGAACATTGTGTGCCTGGCATCTCATTTTGAAATGTTCTGTACTCCTCATAAGAAGAATATTTACATTTTATGATAGTGACCTTTGACCTTTATGCTGGGTAACACATGGTTTAAATAATAGAAGACCTTGGAGGCTTCCATGCATTTTAATAGCTTTCTGCATCCCCTTACAGTTTCACCAGACACCACAATTTGTTTCTTCACTACATGATCTACTTGTTATTCTTTATTGAAAACAGTGGAAATTAACGTAAATTCTGTTAATATCAGTACTTTTGTCGAGATCCAACAATTTAGGGTGTGTGTCCATCTGACTACTGCATAACATAAATAGTGAAGCCTGGAAACTTTTAACACAATATGATTTGAATAAATAGAGATTGTTATCTATTGTCTTCAGAAGTCTTATTTTTGATATTAAAACACGGCTCATATGTAGTGTGTAGCCTGGGCAAGTAATATCTTCACAATCTAGCTGTAATGAATATTATAAGTATAGTGGTTGTGGATTATTCTCAAGTAATATAATGGTATTTATCACATGTATCC